GCTCGTCCCGTGTATAAACACAAGTAACAAACTCGCTTTCGCTTCTATGTCGCTCATTCGCTGCAAGCGTTCACCGCAAACTAACAGATCATCACAATCGAATAGTTAGTACATCGAGTTGTTAGCTCCGCGTTGAAAACGGAGCTCATGCAATCGCTCGCGTGTGTGTGGTCGTGTCACGTGTGTGTGTGTGTAGTGGAAGCAGGAACCGTCATAAACCGCAAACCACCCGACACGGTGGTTAATTCGTAATTGCACGTGTCGCTATTTAATTACAACACGTCCTTAATTCTTTCGACACGTCGCAATTCGAATTACAACACGTCCTTAATTCTTTCGACACGTCGCAATTCGAATTACAACACGTCCTTAATTCTTTCGACACGTCGCAATTCGAATTACAACACGTCGTTAATTCTTTCGACACGTTGTAATTCGAATGCGACGTGCTCGAAAGAATTAACGACGTGTTGTACATTCGAATTGCGATCGTATGTCGAAGAAATAAGGACGTGTTGTAATATCGAATTTGCGACGTGTCGAAAGAATTAACGACCGTGTGTAATTCGACCGACGCGTCTTAAATGAAATTACAACGTGTCGTTAAATCGACCAATAGGGACTGTTCTTACATGAATTACAACGTGTCGTTAAATCGACCAATAGGGATTGTTCTTACATGAATTACAACGTGTCGTTAAATCGACCAATCCGGTTGAAGATACTCTGATAGTTCTGGTACAGGGTAGCGAAGGAGCAGTGAAGGGAGGGGGCGGGAGGAGGAAGTTTAGAGTAGTATAATAGTAGGTGGAGAAGAGAGAAGGGGAGAAGAGAGAAGGTGGTGGAGGAGGGGGAGAAGCTGGTGGAGACGGAGGAGGGGGAGAAGTTGGTGGAGAAGGAGGAAGGGGAGAAGGGAGAAGCTGGTGGAGAAGCGGAGAGCTTGGTGCGAGGTAGGAGGTGAGAAGGGACCAAGTGTTGTGGGAGGAGGGGAGAAGCTGGTGTGAGAAGAAGGAGGCGGGGAAACGCTTAGCGTGGCAGAGGAGGAAGGGAGAGGAAGGAGCGGAGAATGGAGCTGTGTGCGAGAAGGAGGCGTGGAAAAGGGGAGCTGGTGGAGAAGGAGGAGGGGGGAGAAGCTGGGTGGAGAGAAGGGGGGCAGACAGGGAGCTGGTGCTGAGGAGGAGGGGACGACGAGGGAGAAACCTCGTCGAGAAAGAAGAGGGGGAGAAGTCGGTGAGAGAAAATGCAGGAAGGAAGAGGAGGAAGGTGGTCGGAGGAGGCAGGAGAAGCTGGTGGAGGAGAGGGCGAGAAGCTAGCGTGGAGAATGGAGGGAAGGGGAGCAGGAGGGGAGAAGGGAGCTGGTGGCAGGAGCGAGTCCGGTGAGAAGGAGAAGCTAGGTGGAGAAGGAGCAGGGGAGAGAAGCTGCGGGAGAAGGGAAGAGGAGGAGAAGCCTGGTGCGAGAAGGAGGGGAGAAGGCGATGCTGGTGGGGAGGAGGGCGAGAATGAGAGCTAGCGTGGTGGAGAAGGAGGAGTGGCAGAAAGCCTGGTGGGAGAATGAGGAAGGGGAGATCCACCCCCTTTTCCTAGCAACAAGCAGGGGGCGTTCCCAGCTGGCAACGCTTCCGTACCAGTTATTATACGCTGTACTCCCCCCTATGTTGCCTCGATGCGGCCAGGTGTTTTATATTACGCTCTGTTTTAGACTGTTGCTAGCTGAAACTAGCGCGAAGTACCTTTCCATTTGTATATTCACTTCTAATTACTGATTCTAATTTTCTATTTCATTCTCCCCTCCTTCTCCCCTTTCCTCCATTCTCCACCGCTTTTTCCCCCTCCTCCTTTCTCCACAGCTTCTCCCCTCTCCACCACCTTGTCCCTTCTCCCCTTCCTCCACCACCAGCTTTCCCATTCTCACCAGCGCGCCTTTACCCCTTCCTCCTTCTCCACCAACTTCTCCCCTCCTCCGTCTTCCACCAGAGCCTTCTCCCCTCCTCCACCACCGTCTCTCTATCTCTCTTCTCCACCTTACTAGTTACTAGGCCTTATTACTACCTTCTAACCTTTCTCCTCCCTCCCCCTCCCTTCCCCCTTCCCCTCCCTTCACTGCTCCCTTCGCTACCCTGTACCAGAAACTATCAGAGTCATCTTCAACCTGGATTGGTTCGATTCGAACGACACCGTTTAATTCATGTAAGAACAACATCCCTATTGGCTCGATTTAAGCGACACGTTGTAAATTCATGTAAGATCAATCCCTATTCTGTGGTCCATTTAAGACACGTTGTAATTCACTTATAAGGGACGCGTCGGTCGAATTACAACCACGTCCTTAATTCTTTCGACTACCGTTTGCCCAATTCGGAATTACACACGTTCCTTAATTACTTTCGACACGTTCGCAATGTCGAATTTACAAACACGTCCTTATTTCTTCGACACGTTCGCAATTCGAATTTACAACACGTCGTTATCTGTTCGACCGTTTAATTCGAATATGCGATCGTGTCGAAAGAATTAATGACGGCTTGTAAGTTTCGAATTGCGACGTGTCGAAAGAAATTAGACGTGTTGTAATTCGAATTGCAAACGTGTCGAAAGAAATTATCGACCGTGTTGTAATTTTAAAATAGCGACGCGTGGCCAATTCGACATTACCACGTGTCGGAGTGGTTGCGCCTTTATGACCGGGTTCTTGCTTCCATAGTAGCACCTGCGCTCGAATAGCGCGTCGGAGTCAGGAGTGGCGAAGCCCAGCAGCTGCCACCAGTGAGCCGGCGATCGATAGCGCGTCAGTACAGCGAGTGGCGCGAAGCCAGCCAGACAGCCACCAGTGAGCCGGCGAATCGATAGCCGCGATTGACGTCAGCGGTGGCGAGATCAGCCAGCCAGCCACCAGTGAGCGGCGACGTCAGCAGCAGGGCGAGTCCAGTTCAGCCAGCCGGCCACCAGCGCAGCACATCATTGTTACATGCTCGCGGAAGCATGCATCTCGTGAGTGCCCTCTGTCTAGTTGGGATTTGTAACAGAGTGTTGGTGCAGTACAGTGTAGCATGTGCTAGCACAGACTTCTGATCTCTGTAGAAGAGCCGCACACAGATAGACCCAGGAGTGAACCTGCCATAGCGTCCACCTACACACGTACACGCCTCACCGCCTTCGATGCATGAAATATATATGCAGGGGTAGGAAATTAACTTGAAATGAGGAGTCCGCAGTCTGAATTTCAAACTAAAGATTTAATCAAACAACGCTATGTAGCTGTATTTTGAAGATCTCATTGCGCTACGGTTGCACATCTGCCAAATTTTCAAATATTGGCCCTGGTGAATTGGCCCAATATTGTTTTGCCAAATATTGGGCCAATATCAGCTTGCTTGCTGGGTATCTAGCCCTGTGCCAATCATGATGTTCCGTAAATATACCCTGTCCAGCAGCACGTCCCAAGTACCTTTAACAACTGGGCAGTACCCCCCCCCCCTCACCCGGTGTGACGTGTGTTGGTGTGTGTGTGTGTGTTGTGTGATGTGTGTGTTGTGTCGCACTGTGTGTGTGTGTGTGTGTGTGGTGTGTGTCGTGTTGTGGCTGTGGTGTGTGTGTGTGTGGTGTGTGTGTGTCGCTGTGCTGTGTGTGATGTGTGTGTGTGTGTGTGTGTGGTGCGCTGATTGTGTGTGTGCTGAATCTGTGTGTGTGTGTGTGTGTGCTGTGTGTCGTGTGTTCGTGGTGTGTGTGTGTTGTAGTGTGTGTGTGTGTGTGCGGTGTGTGTATTAAATAATTAGTACGGCTCGTATAAATGTTGTCTTCTTGATTTGAATTAGTATTATATATTTTTTTTTTATGCCTGTTCTGGTACTCATACTGTACCCAAGATAGTGGAATAATCCTAAATCTCAACTTAAGTTATTCTAAGGTGTGCGATATAATATTCTTCCTGCTACGAAATTATTTATATGCGTAGCCTACATTACTGTGAACTGATTACTGTTCTGTTGTTTTATCACTGATAGGCCCCTATATACTGCACACATTAGCTACTTCCATTTGCAATTATATCTCACTTTTCCTAATTTCAATACCACGAACTATCTATGTGCTCAAGCTATTATGTCTACTGTACATATAAAGGGATAGCTGACTCGATGACCCTATGGTCTTTCGCTACCCCTTCACCCCTCACATTAATGTTTTCTGTATCATTGTATCTTTGCTAATTGTGGTGATAAATAAATTTTTTGAATTGAATTGAATTGAATTGAATTGAATTGAATTGAATTTGAATTGAATTGAATTGAATTGAATTGCGTTATACAACCTATCTGTCCTCGACACACACGCGCGCACACGCGTACGCGCGCTCGCACACACGCACACACACGCACGCACACACATACAGACACGCGCGCGCACGCGCATAAACGCGAGAAGTAGGTGGTCATGAGATAGTAGGGGAAGTAGAGCAGACAACTAGATGGAAATAGGGGAAGACACATTGTAAAGTTTCTCAGCCGAAAGTTCTCACGAAATAAGGAAAATAATGCAGCACGGAGAAGGAAATACTATTTCGGTCATTAAATAATGTCTGGACGTACAAAAGCATATATCGCGCAGCAATATCACAATATCAAAGAGAGTCACCGGGATTAGATCGAGAGTATTTTCCTAGCACAAATATTTATTACATGACCTCTGCTTATGAACAGGAGGAGGACGCTCTAGCATGTAAGGTCCCTGCGGCAGATTCTACCTAGAGCGTGATTTTAAATCTAAGTTTGGTGTTCGGGCATGCACAATACTGCCGCTAGCAACCATATTTTGTGAGAATTATGCATTTAAAATGGAGAGGGGGTATCCGAGAGTAGATTTAGAGCGTAAATGTTTACCAAGTGGCACATGCTTATGAATAGGAGGACGTTCTAGCATGCGAGGTTTCCTATGCAAATATAGGTCTCTTGTGTTATCGTAGATACAATGAAGATGGCGCTGCGATAGTTAAATATGTCCGCGCCCATTGGAAGGTATTGTTTTTATGTGCTACGTGAATAAACTTGCAGCTGTGAGTGTGACACTGGTAGATTATATATCTCTAAAGTAGGTGGGTGCAGCCAAGGAGTATAAGGCACATTGTTTCTCTCATTTTTAGCTCATCTGACGTAGTCAGGTGCAGCTTGTAGAATCGCATGATTGTCCGTCCGTCCGGTGTCACGGTCTGAGATTACCCCCAGTCTGAAATTGACCTACCGCTAGACCCTCGTGCGATAGGACGCGTGCAGCGACAATGCGGCAGGGAAGACGCTGGGAGTAATGAGACTGCCGCGGCCGCACATCTGAGATTAGTTCTGGCAGTAGTCGGAGTGGTCAATGCAGAACTGGGCGTAAATTCAGACCATGTGAATACACGGTGCTGGAGATTAACCCGAGGCAGCAGTCTGAAATCACTCGGGCAGCCTGCAACTCTCTATCACTGTCGTGCCATCGCGGGCGGTCCATTCGACCTGGGTAATCTGGCGAGCGCGTGGGGTCACGCTCTCGAGCCACTTACCCCCGGGCAGTTCTGAGAATACGCTGCAAATATATGATCCTGTCGTGGCTATAGGTGGAGTAAATTCAGACTGGGGTGATCTCATGACCACGGTGTCGAGCGCGTCGACGCTGAGGATTCCGCGACTCCAGTCTGAAATTACCCTGGGCAAATTATATCGCGTATGTGGCGCCATGAGGTGCGCGTAAATTTCAGACATGGGGTAATTCAGGACGGGTCTGGAATTGTTTCCGCGCACATTGAAATAGGATTCTTAGCAGCCCGGCGGTGCCATGAGGAGGGTTAAGGAGGGAGCGAGGAGGAGGAGGGGGGGAGAAGGTGACGTGAGGAGGAGGGAGAGACCCGTATGGGGAGGGCGGAGAAGCCGCCGCCAGGGGCGGAGGAGGCGCGAGCGACGCAGGGGAGGAGAGACACCGCCCGAGTGCGCGGGCAGCGACTCGACGCGAGACGGCCGGGGACACCCCAGCGCGAGGGCCCAGCAGGCAGACGCGGGACAGGGGTGAATGGAGGAGGAGAAGGAGCAGAAGGTGAAGTGGAGGACGGAGGAGGAGGAAAGAGAGAGAAGGGTGATGGAGAGCGGAGGCAGTGCCCGCGAGGGAGAGGCAGCGACGCGAGCGAGCAAGGTGATTAGGAACGGGAGAGGAGCAGGAGGTACCAGGAGAGGAGAGAAGGTGATGAGGAGGAGGAGGAGGAGGGAAAGAAGGTGATGGAGGAGCAGGAGGAGGAGGAGGGAGGAGGAGGAGGAGGAGGAGAGAAGTTGAGCGATGGAGTAGGGGGAGGGGAGGGAGAAAGATGATGAGGAGGGAGGAGGAGAAGGAGGAGGAGGAGGGAGAAGGTGATGGAGTAGGGGGGACGATGAGGGAGAAAGGTGATGGAGGAGGGAGAGGAGGAGGAGGAGGGCAGGCGAGAGGGAGAAGGTGCTGGAGTAGGCAGGAGGAGGAGGAGAGAAGGTGATGGAGTAGGGGGATGAGGAAGAGGGGAGGAGGAGGGGGAGAAGGAGAAAGGGAGAAGGTGATGGAGGAGGGAGGAAGAGGAGGAGAGAAGGTGATGGAGTAGGGGAAGGAGGAGCGCTATGAGGAAGAGAAGGGAAGAAGGGAGGGGAGCAAGGTGATGGAGGAGTACGGAGGCAGGAGGAGAGGAGAGGGAAGGAGTGGTGGAGAGAGTAGGGGGGCAGGAGGAGGAGGAGGAGGAGGAGGAGGAGGAGAAGGAGGAGGGGAGAAGGTGATGGAGTAGGGGGGAGGAGGAGGGGAGAAGGAGGGGGAGAAGCTGGTAGAGAAGGAGGGGAGAAGGGAGAAGCTGGTGGAGAAGGAGGAGAAGCTGGTGGAGAAGAAGAACTACGGAACAGCTTCTCCCCCTCCGGTTCTTTCCTCCCGAAGCCATGCGGCTTCTCCTTTCTGACCCGCACTCGTCTCCAGCCAGCCGTTCTTACCTTCGCCTCGACTTCTCGCGCACTTCCTCCATTCTCCGAAGCAGCATTCTCCCCTCCAGGTCCTCCGCGGCCAGCGATTCTGTCTCCATCGTCCTTCTCACCACTTCTCTCTTCTCCGCCTGATGCCTCGCTTCTCACCAGCAGCTCCAGGATCGCTTGGTGTTATACGTCCCCCTCTCGACAACCTTCTCCCTTCTCCCCTGCTCCTCCACGCAGTCTCCCTTCTGCCCCTTCCTTCCCTTCTCCCCAGCTTCTCCCGGATGCTCCTCCACAACCTTCTCACAGAGCACCCTTCTCCCGCTGGAGATCGCGACGGGATCGGTCGCCCGTCTCTCCCATGCAGCGTCTCTTACCGCTTCCTCGCCGTTCTCCAGCCGAGCTTTCCACGCTCTCCTTCTCCACCGGCTTCTGCCCCTCCTCGCTTCTCCAACGTCTCTCTCGCTTGCTCGCCCTTCTCCCCTTCTCCACCAGGATTACTCCCCCTCCTCCACAACGCTTCTCCCGCTTCTCCCCCTTCCTCCTTCGTCCACAGCAGTTCTTCCTGTCCGAGTCTGCTCTTGACCTCGCCATTCCATGAGCATATTGAGCGTCGGTCATGTATGAAGGCCGGCCGTGGTGATGCCATGCTGAACTCTGCCGCACCACGGCCCGCGTGGGTGATTAGTCACTGATCCGGTTGGCGAAGAAAGCATATAATAAACTGCTTCGTTGTCCGGTAGTTTGTTGAGCAAATGCTAACTGTGACGGCTGGAGTCTGCAAGGTTAACGCAAGTTCCGCTAATGTTTTGGCTACTGCGCTTTCACTACAGCACCTTGTGCGCATCGTGGCGCATGCGCAGTAGCGCGTAAGGTAATTTCAGACTGGGGTATGCTCGATCCGTAGACACTCGGCGCGTATCCGTGCGTCCGTCGCGTTCCTTCAACAGTTGGGGACAACAAATCTTAACCGGCAAAGGAAGAAATCGACGTACGGTCACGATATGGATGGGGAAGGTAGGCGTGCGATACGACGATCATACCCGGGGGGTGGAATGGGTAGGGCGGTGGGAGGAAGGGGAAAGGGGAGATAAAGGGGTAATCCGAACAACGCAGTTGGGATGTCGAAGTCCTGTCTGTGTCAAAGTCCAGTCAAAGGTCGAAAGGGTGTAAAAAGTGGAAGGGGGAACATTCCCTCTTTAATCTAAGGTATAGGTAGGAAATGACAGATTGGGCCGGCACAAATATAACCGGCTGACCCAGGCTCGTGATCAGTGCGGCTTGTAGATCCAGCACCATGGCTAGGAAAAGATCAGCTGTGCGAAAATTGAGGTCACGGTCAAAGGTCAATGGGGCGCAGGGCAGATTTAAACACTTTTCTAAAAGTAACATGGTCTGGAACGGAGCCGACATGAAAAAACTTTCTTTGGGTTCAGCGGTGATTACCATTTTTATAATGGCTATTATGAAAAGACATCGACATGTTCTTTCGCACTGACCGACGAAGAGTAAGTGTGGGAACCTTATTGAACCCTTAATGGAAGGAGCTTTAACATTGAGATTATGTTGACTGCTAACAAAAGGACTGATACTGCTTTTGGCTTATTATTAGAGCCCAATACCTGTAGGTGAATGTGCAGGCTACAGTTGCACAGTTTAATTGCTAAAGCGCAAATTCGTTTGTTGAACAAAGAGGTTTACGCTCCTGAATCATGACTTATTTTCTAAGAAGCCAGTCTGTCTAATAGCACCCTGAAGGCTGAATCAGTAATGCACCTGTGTGGTAGCAAAAACCGTGCAGCCCACTGCTCGTGTACGCTACTTCTAATCATAATTTTGGCCGTGGTCAACCGCTGCAATACACATTTGTCTGCAATGCATAGAGATTAGGTGGGTGCGAAAGTGTAGCTGATATATTTGTTCCAATTGGCTACGAAAGTCAAACAAGAATAAAGAAGACTTATGTATAAGACGTCTTGCTATGCACAAATGAATTTATCAGCAGAACACCAGACACCAGATGAGCCCTGTCGCACTGCGGCACTTGTTATTACTATTAGCCTATGAACTTGTTTTATTGTAGTTTGTAGCCTATTTCAGTGTTTGCCTGTATGATCTGCGATTATCTGTGCAATAAACTTTATTTGAATTTGAATTTGAATTTGAATGGGGGATATTTTTGTCTGTTCACTGTTATCCCTAGACTCTAGAGTATTACCTCAAGCTGACCTCTTTGTTGGCACCGAGATGGTCTCTTTATACTCAGACTGGCCATATAACTTCAGACGGGCCGTAACTAGGTTATGAAGGTGGTTCTTTTACGTTTTCAGCCAAGATGCTAAGACTGAAGCTAAACACACTTTTGGGAAAGCAATCTCTTCATAAGATTTTGAGATCTCTGACGGTCCTTGGAATTGAGACAAGCTGTGATGATACTGGTGCAGCTATAGTCGATGATACAGGTCAAGTTCTTGCACAGGAAATACACTCACAGCAACAAATGACAATCCGGTAACACTGATGAAATTAATTTTATTCGTACAATAACACACAAAAATAAGTAAGATAATTATCATAGATACGAGGAAATTGTGTCACGAGTATAAACCATGAATATGCCAATCAGCCCGAGTATTGGCTTAGTATAATGCATTAATTACATGTAAGCTGTCATCTTTACGTAATAGGCTTGGTGGAGTGATTCCTCCAATTGCTAGGAGATTACATGAAGAGAACATAGAGAGAGTGGTCACTGCTACAATCGAAAGCAGCAATATTCCTGTTGAGGTATATTCCTTTTACATTTGCCATGGCATCAATTTATTATTTTTAAGTGCTAACAGCAAAGAGTTATGGTCGTAATTAGGTGCCTTGCAATGTATTGATGAATGCATTATAATTTTCCATATTGCAGCAGCTGGATGGAATCGCCTGCACTGTTAAGCCAGGAATGCCACTCTCATTACTTGTGGGCCTGAAGTATGCAAGAGAACTTGTCCGCAGAGCAAAGAATGTTCCATTTCTGCCAGTACACCACATGCAGGCACATGCATTGACTGTAAGAATGGTGGATAGGTAACTCATAGAACATTGAAAGCAGATATCTTGCTGTTTCCCCATTTAAAATTTAAAGTAAATGGCTTATTGTTAAGAATGTGTATGTCTATACTTGAATACTTATACTATGTATATATTTTGAATATACGAGATCAGGGAATATCAGAAAAATACAATATACAGGAAGTACCACGCCTGTTTCAAAACTCATTTTAACTGTTGTTTTTTTCATTAAAATTTGTATTAATTAATATGGAATGCACTATGACCTATGTTATTTAGCTATACCAAAGCATGTAATATAGATTCAGGAGAAGTAAATTATCGTTGTTTTAATAAAGGGTTGCCTTCCCTTTCCTGGTCTTCCTGCTGTCTGGAGGACACTGTCTGCTTGCCATCGTGAAGGATGTTGAGGACTTTATGTTACTGGGGGAGAGCATAGATACATCCCCGGGTGAAGCATACGATAAGGTATATATTCGAGTATGCTATCTGTGGCTATATACATCTCTGCCCTATGCACTTTTCCAACCATACCATATCTATATAGGATTTATAATATATCTATCGATCTATCATTCTATCCATTTATGTTGTGTATATATGTAATATGTCCCTTCGTCTGTCCGTCCATCCATCTAACTATATAGGTTTCCTCATTGAAGCAGTACTCCCTAGCACCTCTATAGATATACCTACCTACCACATGACTCTGTTTTGGTACTGTCAGGTTGCACGACGTCTAAAGCTGAAGAATCTACCGGAATGTGATGGGATGAGTGGCGGTGAGTCGGTGGAGAGGGTAGCGCGTCGGGGTGACCCGCACAAATTCGTCGATCGTTACCCGGCGACCATGAGCAAGTACAGAGACTGCAACTTCTCCTTCTCCGGCATGAAGACGACGACCATGCGTCTCATAGAGCGGGAAGAAGAGAAGCACGGTAGCGATTACACCAGTGAACAAAATACACGGGGGCTCGGGGCGATTTAGCCCCCGAAATGCCAAAAAGAGCCCCGGAAATGCCAAAAAGAGCCCCGGAAATGCCAAAAAGACCCCCCTGTAAATTTGCATAGAGTTCAATGCAAACCAAATTTTAGAGTGCTATTTTCATGCACGCGAGCTTGAAAAGTAGCCCCCGAAAAATACATTATATTTTTTTCCCTGGATTACACGTTGCATGAAGTCTTTAATGGATGTATTACGAGTTGAGCGCAATCTCGTTGCAATACACTTGAATGTTGACATGTATTTTATTTTCCGTTTTTATCAAAACAGTTATTTAGGAAGATATAAATGGTGCAGTAAAGATTGTAAAGATGAGAGAACCATAGGATTTCCTGTGACTGTGACAGATGAAAACTGCAAATATTGCTCACGGTCTGAGCCAGCAGCCTAGCCTGCAAGTTCTTATTTGCACTGTAGGAATCGTTGGCGATGGGATTCTACCGAATGTCTGTGATGTAGCGGCTGCATTCCAGCTGTCGGTCGGTCGCCATCTGTTGAAGCGACTGCAGCGCTGCCTGGTGTTCATAGACTACAACGATCTCCTGCCTAAGCACAACAGAACTCTGGTACCGCCACCATTACAGAGTCTATCGCCCAAGAATAAAACTGATAATTAGTGTCATTACTCATATACAGTTGGTGTTGTTACATATAAAAGTGCCGTGATGTCTGGTTTCTTGAGGATAGGAGGGTTGCCAAATGCTGCCATTGTTAAAAACATTACCGTGTTATACTTGACAACTCCACACGCTAGTTGATTAGAAATGTCTATTTAGTACTTTATATGGTTGACACTACTCTCCTTCTTCTTTTCCAACTTTGTTGAACTTTTTATTGTAAAGATAATGGCAGATAGATTTGGAGAACACTTAAACTTAGGACTGATGCCAGTTGATAGACTGAGAGCTAGTTGGTAAAATTCTCGTTAATAGAGCATTATGGATGTCACAGTGCTGGCCGTCGCAGATTTTACTCCACGTACATGTATTCTGATGCAGGTACTCTCTGGAGGAGTGGCCTGCAATTCATTCATCAGGCAGGTGATTGGCCAACTATGTGATCATCATGAATATGATTTGGTGTGCCCGCCTCCACAACTGTGCACCGACAATGGTGTCATGGTAGCATGGTGAGTGTGATGACCTCGTTGTCTCCTAGTAGAAATTTGTTTGATGTAAACCATGAGTTATGTAAATGACCATTTCTTCTTTCCTCTTATTCCAGGAATGGCATGGAGAAACTGAAGGTGGGAAAGGGTATTGCGTCGGACCCGGAATTAGTAGATATCGAACCAAAGTATGCAATTTTTAAATCTAATAACTATTAGTGTGAAGGATTCAGACATGTGCAAAATTATGGGCTTTTCTTATACACTACAGCCAATTTCTTCTCCATCACATTCGGTTCCTGAGTGGCACATTTCATCACAGATATCGATGGCTAAGGGCATATTTTTCATTTTTTTCAGATGTTCAATAGGACCCAGCATGATTCGAAAAGTACAAGAAGCAAATATTCAAGTGCCAAGATTTAAAATAGACTTGACAAAATTTAGTTGACTAATTATTCATGGATAGATCTCAGATGTGTTTTAGTTCATAATTATAAACGTTTTCTTATAGTTGTATATATTGTGAATAGGTCTTAACACAAATATTTACTGTGCAGAATATATAGGCTATATCTTTTTTTTAAAAATCCAAAGTTACAAACCTAAAACTGCAAGAACGTAATTTTTACACTTTTTATTACCAAGTTGAAACCACAAAGTACAACATGAGTACCAGTACCCAATAGTTAAAAAAATCGTATTACATCTTGATTGATTTAATAGCAGATGACAGACAAGTCATTCACACAACTCTTGTAACAAATTTCAGCAAGATCTGAGATTAAATCACTTATTTGATTAACGTGATGTTTTAACTAACTGTTTAAAAAATCTCACCTGCTTACGATAAGTTTCCAGTCGCGTTTCAAACAGAAAGCTTCCATCATGTTTCAGTTTAGTGAAACATTCATACAGCCATCACGACATCAGAAGCAATGGCATCAACACTGGGAAGCATTGAACTCGCACACCATTTCAACAAGTCAAACACCTATCTCTAACAAGCACACAGTATGTGGTAGAACTGGCAAAGGTCAAACTAGTGCGCGTGCTATTGCCAGCTTTCAGGCAACACGAGTGGGATTATCAAACGAAATTCAGAACCATTAGAAAGCAAATGAGATATGGTAAATGATATCAAACACCCGATGGGACACAATCTACAGATGCATGACATGACATCATGACAAATTCATTCATGTCCGCCTTTTATATTAACGACTTTCACATGCCACAATCGATTCTGTCTACAAATGAGGCCATGCAGTAAAATCAGTAAAATTAAGCAGCCAGAGCCTGTGATAATTCATTCTAACACTAACACGTGAACACACTAGGTGTCCAACTCAGCAATCAGAATGTAATCAAGCTCCATTATCAACCATCGTGTCACTCCCGCTACTGTAAAATTAGCATTCTGACTGGCTCATCAAACAACCCAGTGATGCACCAAAACCTAGGATGAGCTAACACTAACGTGCAGAATAAATGTGCCAAGTGGAAGCATTTTGCACGAAGCGTCCGGCTAGCTACTGAAATGTACGCGTGAAATCTCAGTTTCGGGGCACACACGAGCACGCCACCCATTGACGAGCGATCAAACCGTGGAACCATCACCAGTGGCCAGCAACAGTTTCCTGGTTCCACGGTAAGACGAGCGTGCGCGCGTGCGCAAAGTGTCGCCCCCTCCCTCCGCTCCCCGCACCCACACATAATATCATACACGTAAGAGTCTATTCAGACAGCCCAGCATCCAAAGCTCGAACGCGCGTCTCACGAATCGCACCTCACCTCCTCAATGCCCCGCGAAGCAGGCTGCTCTCCTGGGCATCCCCCTCGCTAATCTACCGTTTGGTCTGCACTCTCGCCGACCTTAAATTACAAACTGTACAATAACAAAAATTAATACGCTCCCGGCTGGCGATTAGACCAGCCCTCACCGACAACGCTCTCCTGTGATGAAATACTTGTGCTTCAGCGCGTTTGAATTGTCACATAGCTAACTACTGTAGACCAGCTTAGAGGTCTGTCATAAAGCGGAAGAATCGGATGGACACCACGAAAGGTCTTCCTTTTTTTCTGTGAGATATTTCAATGAGGTCAGTGTGGGATAACCGAACATAAAATTGTAGAAAGCGGGACAAGCACGTGTGTATAAAACTGTCACTGTGTAACTCTGGGGCTCTAGGCGCATCACGTTTTAAGAGTCATCAAGAGGTCTGCAAAAGATATTAATATTTCTGTATGCAAATGTTACATAGCCTTTTCACAGTTTGAACTTTAGCCATGGACAATATGAGAAAATATCAGTGTCACATTGCCAAGTTACACGTCACTGAGCAGTTTACAATCGCTTAAAACATAATATGCTTTTTGACGCACTGACCTCTAACCCTTAGCCTCCACACTCGATGTTAAGCTACATTTCTGGATTAAGATCCAATATCCCCAAAATGATCAAAATGTGCAAAATGCCCACAAAGCTTCAAACCGATGACAAGAACCGCGTGAACACACAACAACGAGAAGAACAGCTCAGTAGCTGCAGCCTAGTACTTGTTGATTCCAAAAAGCCGGACTCCGTGGAACTGCGGAAGTTTCGGAAGCAGCACAAACAGCAGCGACAACGAATTCACGAAGAAATGCACTGTGTCGTACTTGGTGTAGAAACTCGCAAGAATGAACCTGTAATGAACCAACAACGATTACCCACGAGCAGTGCATTTTGAAATCGTTCACTCCATCTGATGATACACTATATAACCATACACATCATCATTTTACACGTCTCGTATGCAAGGTTAACTTTAGTCAGTAGAGGGCAGCAGTACACTTACACAGCCACGGGAACGGCCGTGAAGAATTTTCGTGTCGAGGTAAACTGAGTTCCGCAGTCAATTTGCTCCCAGTGGGTCTGCAGACGTGACTTCCCCTGGTCGGCTGTCATCCATGGTGTGCCTTTTAGCGTGTGAAGGACGGTGAATGTAACCTGAAACAACTGGTCCATTAGCACCTGCATCCTGAGCAAACACTGCAGAGTGAAATTCAACAATTTTAATCACTCACTACTTAATCAGTGTTGGAAAGAGCAGCCTGTCCCACAGTCCGCAAGATAACTTTTAAGCAGGACTGGCTAGTTTTGATGGGTTTTACTATGACTTACATAGTAGAAGTAAAGAATTTGGACCAGGACTGGCTGGGATAACTTATTTCAAAGACTGAAATTCAATGTGTAAAGTCTTAGAGCTTTGTAATTTTCATTAACTAAATTGGCGATTTGTCAGATACTGTGACAATTACGAACCAGGAATCCTCCCTACACTCGACCACTTATTTTGTAATTAAACTCACAATATTGTGAATCGTATTGGTGAGTGTCCAAACAGCTGCAACACTTAGAAAGGGGAAGCTAAGCAGGATCAGGTGCCCAACTGTGATAATCAGTATGTAAAACAACCACGCTCCTGAAACACAGTGAAAAAATGACATTAACCACTGAAACTATACTGTTGTTCAATTGCGAAACCGTCGTGTGAAGAAACATTGAAATTACTGTACTATGTAGTCAAATAATTCATTTGCATTCACAGGATTTATCAGTAACTATATATCATGTACATTTTTCCCTCTAATACTATACCTCTGCTATTTAACCAGGACGTGTTCGGATTCACTAGGCCTGCTGCCTGCATTGTTTTAACAGTTGTCTGTGTTGCTTCGTGAACCTGAATTGAAAACAATAGAACATACATGCACTTGTACGTATCCTTAGCTGCTGAATCCACATGTATGTAAAAATTATACAAATATCTGATCAGGTAAACATACTCATATTTATATATCCAGGGGTAGAAATAAGCGATGGTCCGATGGTCCGGGGCCATCAAATAATCAGGAGGACCATCAGATTTTCAAAGTCAATGGTCCGACGGACCATTGAATATTTTGGTCCAATTTTACGGTTCCTAACAACCTTTGAGCCAGGGCGCTATCGCACCACATTCTCACGTCAAACCTTTTCAAAGGTTGCTGAAAAAAGCAGCCTGCAACACCCACTGTTACCATTACAGATTTATTCAGAGCGGCAGCGCTTACCTCGCTGGCTGGGGCGCATTGATTGATGTACTGGTGGGGGGGGGTGCACGATTGTTTATAAGTCACTTGGGCATGTTCATTACTGAATATGTAGGGGGTGGGCACCGCTGGGATGAAAGGACAACAGCAAAACTCTCCTGGGGTTGAGGAAAAAGCTGCAAGCGGCAATCACAATGAGCGTGCCGGCACGCAAAAATAAACGTTGTGTGAATTTCATTACGATTTTACATGTACTGTATTTACTCGTGTGTAAGTATTATTCATGTATAAGTCGCACCCCATATTTTGCCTTGAAAAGTTGGTACAAACATTGGTACATTAACAAGATTTCTTAGCCTCGTCTATAAGTCGCACCCCCTGATTTTTTTTATTGAAGTTGTGTACAAAAAAGTGTGGTTTATACACGAGTAAATACGGTATATATATACTGTAATATCAGGAGTGCATAATATAGATATATATATTATCTACATCTATCTATATATGTTAATGTTATATATGTATATATATTTATATATCTATTTATATAATATAGATCTCTATATTATACACTCCTGGTAATACGATATGCACTGAACCAAAAGAGGACCTTAACGGCTCATAGATTGCAAGTAAATTTTGGACAAGTAAAATCAAAATTCGGACAATTAAAATCAAAATTAGGACAAGTAAAAATTGCTTCTTGTTGCCCGACAGGACAACCAGATCTGAAAATAAGCGTCGAGGCCTGGCGTGATTGGTCAGATTGTCCCTCTTCCTGTTTTGATTGTGATGACTTCCAGTGGACACCAAAACAGCGTCTTCCCCGTTAATAAGATAATATGAAATATAGGCATTATACATAGCCTAATGGCGAGCGTCATTACATTATCTGACCTTTGCATGGAAATAGATGTATACATGTTTATATTTATTTCTATAAACTTATATAATAAAAAGTGTTAAAACATAATATATAAACATACTATATTCCGGTGTTATGGGTTCAACTAAATTCTACTGAAACAACTTTATTAACCAATATACTATTAAAGTGAATAAACAATTACTGTATCGTTTGATACATTCATTGTAGGTAAATAATTAAACCATTTTATAACCATGTAAAATCTCTTTCTTACGCTTGCGCGCCGCATTACTTTTAGAGAACAATTTGAAATTTAGGAAGGCCATCTAAAATTTAGGAGGACCATCTAAATTTCAAACTAGATGGTCCTGTGGACCATCTCTTTGTTTCTCCTTATTTCTACCCCTGTATATCAATATAACAAGAATAATAAATGTGATAGCATGGTGCATTTACACACATTGATAGACTGGGTAACAAGCACAAACTGCCACATTTCCTCTACTGGCCACTGACCACACAGAGAGGCCATGCACATGTTCACCCATTCCAATCTTGATCATAATGCACCCCAGTTAACACAAGTAGCAAATCTAGCCCAGACATCGCTCACTTACTCAAGAATTTGCACTAATGGCCTTTGATAATTCCTGATGTGTCATAACTATTAGTACATGCAGATACAAGCTACGAATCAGCAAGACCTGTTGACTCAGACACTGCACTTTGGTATGGTAATGTGTACGCACGTGTACGTGCACACGCACGCACGCACACACGTGTACGTGCCCACGCACGCACGCACGTGTACGTGCACACGCACCCACGTACGTACGCACGTGTACATGCGCACGCACGCACGCACGTGTACGTGCACACGCAAGCACACCAGCACGTGTACGTGCCACAGCACGCACACACACACACACACGTGTACGTGCACACGCACGCACGCACGCACACACGTGTACGTGCCTATGCACGCACGTACGCACGCACCACGTGTACGTGCACACGCCACCCGGCGCACGGTGTACGTGCCCACGCACGCACGCACGTGTACGTGCACACGCGCACCCGTGTACGTGCACACGCACGCACGCACGTGGACGTGCACACGCAAGCGTACGTGTACGTGTACGTGCAGATCAGCTTTCCTCCCAGATGTCTTTGCAACTCTGATTTCAATTCATTTACGGGTTTCCCTTCGTAACTAGACGCCATTGTTTAGCAGTGATACCAGGACAGTGCACGGCGCCGCCATCTATTCAGCGATTAGTAAATGGCGAACCCCATTAGAAATGCACATTGCTTATTGAGAAAAAACGGCAGGCCCTAAACAGATTACGTCAAGCTGTGCCAGCTTGACAAAGGCCAAGGGTTTAAGATGTCGCAAGGCCTGCCAGAGGTTCATTACGGCGATAGCCGATACAAGCCGCCGGGAACAGTTTGTAGCTATAAATGAGGCTAAATTCTTGCTGTGATAAGTGACGGATCACAGATTCCTCATCAAGGAGGCCGAAATTTTATTTCGAATTAAAATTTTATTTAATTTTATTTAATCTTATGATTCCATATCAAAGTTACTATGTATTTTATACAATTGAATGTCTTTTACAAAACTTTTCTGGGGGGACACCCCTTGTTACCTGGGAGAGACCCCTGTACCCCCTAGCAGAAGGGGGGGCTCCACCCTCCTACCCCACCTACCTCCTGGCAAATCACAAATGCTTGATCGCTCTGCCGCCTTAGTAAGTCCTTCGGCAGGACTAGTTTAGAATTTTGGAAGAACTAGTTACATTTTTTCTTTTACTGTCCTGTGGACTATGAACTAAATGATTAGTGCTCTAACCCTGTATTGCTATATATACATAATATCAGGAGTCTATCAATATTGATAGACTCCTGATAATATATGGAACAATTGATTGTGCACACTTGCGTAACGATCACTGACAGAAGCATGATTGCCTATCATGCAATTCCTGTGGTAGGTCCCCGGCACCCACAACACCCACAACCACCCACCACCGCCCACTCTAGGCACATGCCTGAACAGGGCATACTCTGCGCTCATAGGGTCTATATTCCCCAGCCGGTACTGCCGAACGTACCCTGGGTACGGTCCGGGTATACCGGACACGTATACCCTGGTAACTATCTAGCTGATATGGTTAGGGTTAGGGTTAGGGTTAAGGGTTAGGGTTAGGGAGTATGGCGTAGGTGACTCCCCAGACTCCGTTAGTGGAGTAGGCGAGGTACGGTCCGGCATATTAGATAGTAGTATTTAGTACCAGGGTACGTTCGCAGTACCCTGGGGGACATAGACCCTATCAGCCATACTCTGAATGGGTGGATATGAAATTGATATTACCGAATAATATTATAATAAATAATAATATGGTTATGAGATATGAGGTAAATCCCTCTTCTGCTAAACGGTTATTATTAACTCGGTTCGTAGACTTGCTAACAGTGGCTAGTACTAGGAGATAGTAGTAGAAATAGAGATAGATACGAATCAGACTATTAGTATTACTATTAGTACTAGCTACTGGTACTAGTAAGTATATAGGTCTAGTGAGGTAGGCATGCATGGTCGGCGACGGCACGCACAATATTACAATAACTTATCAATACACACACACATACTGTTCAGCTGTAAAGCTTCGGGGGCGCCATAACTTCAACGCCTGATGGCCTATCACTGCCCGGCAGCTGGGCACGGTCTTTCGTTTCCTAACATGCCCGGGCCAGTTCTTAACCCTAACTCTAACCCTGAACCCGTAAACACCTACACAAAAAGCCCTAACTCTTAGCCGCCTAAACCTAACGCCTAACCTAACCCTAATCCACTAACTCTACCCTAACCCTTGTTTCCTGGATAACGCTCAAAATTAAAAACTGCGGGCATTAGGAGAATCGAAGACGCGTGCCCGCGCAACGCCGTCAGATTATACGCCTGGCGTGCCGCCGGCTATATGCCACTGTGTAACTTTCAATCTGCTGCTAGAATTAAACGAATCTATACATAGTCTGAAAGAAGGTTACATGATATTGATGTCTAAAAATTCTTACTGTACCAGGGTGCGAAATTAACGGGAGTCCGGAGTCAAATACTGGTTCAAGGATAGAGAACATGGGTCCCAATAAAACTAATGTCATTTACATCAATAAGAATAAGGGTTAGAATTAGGGTTAGGGTTTAGGGTTAGGGTTTAGGCCATTGGCACAGTTGGTTTTATTGGGACCCATGTTCTCTATCCTTGGGCCAAATACTGCCCTGATTTACTTCTGGACTCCCCTGATTTGACATATGTGGGCAAGGAGTCCGTCGTGGACTCCCTGAACAATTCTGCGATTAGGCCGCCTATCTGACTAAGTTCGTTCCCGGAGCACGCGCCCCTCGCGGAATTACCGTATTTTTCCAGGCCTTAATGTCCAATAGAAAATTTGCAGACGTGCAACTGCATGAATCTTAAAAATAACTAACAGTAACAGTAACATGCGTGATTCACTGATTGTTAATATCTTTAATTTTGAACCCTCCGGACTGGCGCCGGACTCCCTCATTTGCTTCGAGGACTCCTTTTTTGAGGGATAGCGAGTCCGCTTGGGACTCCCGTTCAAAAGTTCAATTTCTAACCTGCTTTACACACACCCTTACCTACAACTTTAATGTTGAACGATTTTTTACACAACGTACATCTCCTCGAGACTTCGTTACTGTTGCATTGTTGACGTAGTGTGGCTTATAGACAGGAACTAGCTCTCTTCTTCTTTGGCATTGTATGCCGATAAACTAATGGTGTCAATCTGTAATACACGTCATCGCCATCGTCAACGTTTACTTGCTCGCCATGGCCACTTTTTTGTTATGAGTACAAAAACAACTGTGTCAATGTACTATGATTTTTTATTGGTTTATAGTTTCATTCTCGAAAGTCTCATTTTCATTTTCAGTCCAATTATATTATGCATATTGACGCTAACTCAGAAAAAATGTTTTTAAAACATTAAGCTGCATAATAAAAATATATACATGCGTATATATACAAGTGCGCATGAGCGACAGCCTCATCTAACGGTTACTGCGCGTTGACTCTGTGGGTTGGGAGTGTGAGGATTCTAGTAAACCCTGTTAGTCCCAAATGTTGTTCCACATACACGCCGAAACAGTGGAATGCACTAGGGTGGCTATCAGGCAAACCTTCTCAACGGAGATGTTCGTTTGGCCGCATCGTTAGAAAGTTGCCACGAGACCTGGCGCGCGTACGTTTAAGTGTTTCAGATTAAGATGGAAGGCTCCCATCATACGAGCTTGGTCGCCGCGGGAGACAATTCCTCCCAACCTTCGTTCAGGAATTCCATTAAACTTTGTCCTAGGAACGAGTAAAAACAGGATTGTTAGGAACGCAGGTTTAATCAACAAATGAAACAGTCAACTAATTGCCACCTAATGAAATATTTGTTATAGAATATCTGCATTGCGCCACATTCGTACCCATTCCGCGGCACGATTTCGCTGATTTTAGTAGCACATTTCGCTGTTTAGTATAACACATTTTTACACATTTCTGATAACATTGCCCGCAGTTAATTGATGCACAATTGCGCCACATCTTACCCCATTCGCGCACATTCGCTGTGTTTAGTATAACATTTTTTTACTCATTGATACATCTTGCAGGCAGTTATTGCATGCACATTGCGCACATTCTACGCCCATTCTGCGCACTTCCGTTGTTTTAGTAGCACATTTCGCTGTTTAGTATAACATTTTTTACATATTTTTACTTTACATTGCGCACACATTCCTGCAACTTTTGCTGTTTCAGTAGCACATTTCGCTGATTTGAGCTGGACCCGAATTTTCGCATTATTCCAATCTTGGCGGTGCAGGGCAGTAATGTCTCCCTTGTGCAAATCCCATTCATACGTGTTAGCAACAGACTATCTGCAAGACAGAATAGGTAAGCACCTATCCATTTACCTACGCAAGCCTACAGCTGCGTTAACTAGAGAGCTGCACCTGTTGAACCAATTAAGGCAAAAACTCCACAGTACCACAACACATCTGTCATGGCAGTCGGCATACGTTACATGTAACATACTGACACTTACAGAATCGCCATATAAATTATACGATTTAAGGAGCATAAACCTTCTTTAACCAAAATTTAGCTTTCGAAATTTCACTGTTGACATCTCGTAGCTCATTACTCAGCATTGTATAGATTCTATCTAGCAAACCCGGGCAGCCTCTCACTCTAACAGGAGACATCAACAAAAATCCATGTTTTAACCTCTCTTGAGGGTCAAAGAGTTATCTGACACTTACTCTGCGCACTGTCAGCAGAAAGTAGATTTCATGGTCCGTTTCAAATAATGCCATTAAAAATGCTAGCGTCACGCTGAAACAAAAAAGCTTTTATCAACTCGCTCCGTCAGACCATGTCCTCCGCAGAACAATGCTCTAAAAATCTCCTGTGCCCATGGTTACCTCTTGACCTGTGACCATCAAATTCGCACCCAGTGATGGCTTTTCCTACCATGTGCTATACACGACTATCACGCAGCTAGCGTCGAGCGTTTTTATGATTTTGGTGCCGCAATTCTGCATTCCTCCCTATACTTTAAGTTAGGAGTGAATGTTCCCCCTTCTTTATACACCTCTTGACCTTTGACCTTTGACCCAGCTTCGACAGCCCCAAAAACTCGTTTGAGCGCATCCCCCCAATGTGCCCCGAATATCGTGACGTACGATCGACGCGCCAGTTCAAGAATTTGTGCCCAAACTCGTTGGCGGCCGACCGGACGAGGCCGCACGGTACGGACACGGACGATCAAGCGATTCTACAAGCTGCATCTGACTATGTCAGATGAGCTAAAAATTCAACATTAATAAGAAATAAAGGTATATTGAAGTACACGTATATTTGAATAAAAAGAATTACAAATACACGGTATCCAATGGTACAGGGTCAGATATTTGCATTGAACATGTAGCCACCACAACGTCCTTTTTTCTATATACAGGTAACCAACAAGCTTTCCGAAAAAAATAAGCAGATTATGGGCTAACGCTCCATTAGGAGTGTTCCCAACTTTGATATCATTAATAATTAATGATTAATGATTAATGATTGATAATCCTACCCCTAACCCTAACCCTAACCTAAATGACATTAAACCACAAACTAATATATGACCATGACCATATATATATATATATTATATATGTTATTATGACCATTAATGACATTAAAGTTGGGAACACTCCTAATAGAGTATCACCCAGATTAGGGGAGCTCATATTAAAACAGATTTTTTGTGATAAAGTACAGAGCAACTGGTTCAGGACATATATACAGATTCATACATATTTATTTTGTGCTGCAATTCCCCATTCTCCCACTACAATGGCTACATATTAGAATTTATAGAACAAACACTGTAGTGTGAACAATACAATTCCACCAAACGCCAAAGGTCACCTAATTGCCTCGCAACGGGTTTATCGCCCCATCAGCCTGCCCGAGGGCCTGCATATGAACCTTTCCAAAATGAATGCCTGTGCCAACTCTAGAAAATACAAATATACATGACGAGCGATCGTAACTTGGCAGGCGACTGCACTCAGTTGAAATCCTCTCCAGTAGATGTTGCTGTGCTGTGTTCAGTCATCGCTGAGGAACTTTCGTTTCTTTGCTGTTCGCATGAAAGGTTTCAGCTGCCATTCAACATCTGCGATGTCCAGTTGTTCCAGCGTGCCCAGCTTGATCTCAAACACTGCAGCAATCACAGTTCCTTCATTACTATTGGTGAAACACTAACAGGTCATTTAGTCACAACTGTTAGCTTGTGCGTTAGCCACAATTGTAGATGTAGGTTATTTGTGGAAAAAATGTAATGTATTGCACAGGTTATGCTACACTATGATATATCGTCATGGAAACGGTATGATTGCAAGAGAAAAAGCAAATATCACAGTAATCATTACGCACAAGTAATCATTCATGAATGTCGTGATGATATCTATATAATCATACAAAGCCAGTGTATAGATAGCTGTACATGATAGTTAACGACAAGATGAACATCTGCAACAAATTTGTTCAAGTTCCTTTTCAAGACGATTAGAGAATTATATATATTTATGTGCCTTCTTTTTAAGGGAAACATTTGTTTAAAACCAATTATGGTAGAGCAGAGTCAAAATGTTGAGACTTACATCTCATTTCAAAACGTGGCCCAACTTCTTGTAGTTCTATATTTTTGTGGTCTGTCTTCTTGTAAGTGTGATGCCTAGACACACAAAAAGAAAGTAACAATTAGTGTATAAACCCCAAGAAACTAAATGTATATTAATAACTAGAGTAACAACTGCAGAAATCATACTGTATCAAATAGAAAATAAAAAATGATGGAGAAATTGAAATACTCTGTGGAAAGAAACTTTTTCCAAACAGACCTAAATGAGATATAATCATCAGTGTTTGCAAACGTGATCACTCTTCGGCTTTCGTCTTTAGGCACCGGAAACAGGTACTTTAGAATATTTGAAACCTGAAACCAAAAATGAAAAAAAGCGTTATATTACAAAAACAGTGCCTATATACGTTGCACGTTTATTATTGGACAAATTTCATGTCCTGCGCAAAGTAAGTCTGAAGTTAAAATTTAACGTGCGACATGCAACCTTATGTCATATAAAGAACTGAATCTGCACCTTCTCCTGCACAGGCTATTACTCAGATCTTAGTGCCGATTACAGAAACTCATCTAGTTTAAAAAACAAGAGCCGCAGAGCGTCTGGGCTCATCTGAGGTCTGTT